AATGTGATTTTAGTGAGTTCGCATTTCATTTTTGTTCGCGTTTCACAAATTCTTCAATTTCAACCCATCGGAGCGAAGTCGTCGGAAACGATGGAATCGAGGGCGGCGGAAACACAATACGGCGAGAGGAAGAAGATAACGTCGGCGTGCGACGTCGAGGCCCTGAAGAAATGCTTGGAGGAGAACAAAGGCGACTACGTCAAGTGCCAGTCGCAGATCGAGGCCTTCAGATCTTCATGTTCTTTGAAGAAACCAAATCAATCTCCTGAGTCGGTACAGTAGATCATCAATCTACTGCTTTTTCATGTTCTTCACCAATTTTGGGTTCGAATTTTTTTTTGTAATTTATGTTGGAATTTTGAGTGTTTCTGGTAATCTGAACATTTACCCATCTGGGTTTTTTGTAATAATTCATTATCTTTAGATTGTTTGAAGCTTTGGTCTAGGAAGCACTTCCGCTGAAAGCACTTATATTAGAAGCACGTCAAGTGCTTCCCAAATTACTTTCTAGACTAGAAGTAGCACCTACTTCCTAAATGATAAGCAGTTTTAACTTTATCCACCAAACGTTTGTTCAAAGCGTTTTTGATTATCTAAAATCGCTAGCTTTTCCTACAAGCACTTTCGAACATGCTTAAAAAGCTTAAGCTTCTAAAGGATCTCCTCCCGGGCAATGGCTTTTGCGTGAAGGGATTTTGTGGCACACCGCATTTCCCCTTCAAGTACAGGACATCTGGTATGTGGACTGCCCTTGTCCGGCGATGCATTCGGATGAGGAGAGAAAAGCAAAATCGCGTTCCCCCTAACGGGTCTCGGCATGCTGCTCCTCCTTCCACAATCAAGCCGGACCTTGCTCCTCAGCTGAGAGAGTTTCAACCACGGTCGACAACTATTCTCTGAAGGAGCCAGTTCAGGAACCGAAGGCCATAGCAACAACAGCCAGTTCATCGATAAGAAATTCGTCAATGTACCTGATCTTGGTTGCCAGGATAGTTGGACAACGCATGACAGGTCAATTCGGTTGGAACGAAAGGAGTGGCCAAAATGTACTACAGTTTCTTGGTTGGTTTCCTTCCTCCTCAGTTCCTTCCTGCTACTGAAACAAAATGGAGCTTGTGAAAAGAAAGTTGAGATGAAGTTCTTACATTTCGGCAGAAGAGCTGGCGAAGGAAGACGTTGCGGCCAGAAGAAGGACGATCGAGGCAAGGGAAGCCATTGAAGCTGAACCTCCTCTCCTGAGGGTCTGAGAGGTACTACTTGCTTCAGCTGCACTAAAGCCTTTCTTTTTTTCTTTTCTGTTAAATGTATAACACTTTGAAGCAGTCAATTTCGACTTAAAAACAATATTTTACTAAACAAGACTCCGCCTTTCCTATAAAGACAATGTCATATCTTGAATTAATTACACAGCGTAATTGGTTTGAGATACTGTCACAATGACTGACACCTTTTGTGATTAGTTTCTCGCTTGCTATTCGTTGTAAATATAGTGCTTTCATATGCGTGAGTGCATTTTTGTTTAAACACTTTCAACGACTACGTTAATTGTTATTAGATGAATATGATTTAATTTTTATACTACCTAAATCTCGGAATTTAAACTTTTCATGTAATTTGGCATTGCAGAAAACCACAACTTTTGGCTCGAGAAAAAAGCACAGAATGAATCAATGAATTTATAGTTTGTTGCAAATTTATTCTTTTCTCTATATTTGTAACTGCAACAATTGCTGTAATGATCGATCACTACTTATCAAACAACAGTAATAACAACAACAATCACTCCCTTCTTTCATTCTTTTCTCTCGAAAAACCGCGCTGTGAATGACTTGCTTTTCTTCGTCGAACCAACCGAAGACTCCCCGCTCGATCCATACGAGTGATCTTCCTCGTCCTTCTCGTCAAAAGTTCCATACGGAGACGGTGAATATGCATGAGGCACGGCCAATGTGACGGCCCTCTGTAATGCAGCCTTGTACTCTTCCGAGTGCTCTTTGGCTATCGTCTCCTGCCGCTCCATTTTTTGCTTCGATGGAATCTCCATGATTTGATCTTTCTCCAATAATAACTGACGGGAGGGGAAAAAAGGGCAGAGGTTCAGACACCGGGCAGCGATTTTAAGCTTTATGATCTACTTGAGACTTGAGCTAAAAACTTACATCTAGAGCCCTTTGGGCTTCTCTCTCTATCCAAATGATAGCGTGGTCAGAAGTGGCATTACAAGAAAGAACGATGTGCTCAAATCTCCCATCCACCGGAACCGCTGTCTTGACAACGGGAGGAAATCTTCCACACCTGCAAACAAAATTATATAGATGGGAGATCTTTTAACAGCATAGCATCAAAAGTGACTTCCTGCTCAGCAAAACATCAAAGCTATATCTTTGGTTCAACGTGGATGTGGCAAATCCCACGGATACCAGGTACCACTGTATAGTTAACAAGGCTGGATATAGGTCTAGAATATTTCATGTCGGGTTACAGTAGAATTTACATATTGCACAATGATCGCACATTGACAAAAGCAAAAACAGAAGTGAAAACTTGTTCTCGGTAATTTATGGTAGCGGTTGGCTAAGCAGATAATCACAGTTAAGTATGCTCATTAATGCTAGACAATACCTAAAAGGCTTTCTCTCAACAATGTGATAGAGGCGGCCAGGTGCATAGAGCCTCCTTGGATCTTTGAGCATTTTCTCCTCAGGTATACATGTGTCCCTCATACATCGTAGGCACAATATGCACGGCAAACTGTTTCAAAAATCAAATCCAACTTTAATCCAGATAAATTAAAGTGCAAAACTTGATTTCATCACCTAATTAATTCTCAAAATATGAGTTTGCCTTCAGCTGTGAACAAACAATGGTTGAAAAGAGTGATCAGAGCCATCTATACCAGAAAAGTGACTTGAAAATGTCTTCCAAGGGTGTAGCAGTCCGCGGTAAAAAGTCATCCTGGTCCAGCATAATGACCACAATCAAATCTACGAAAAGGATTGACGGAACTACTACTTAAAGATTATAGTGGTGGATGCAACTTTTTGCTAATTAGTTTCTAAATGAACAAGCTTCCACGCATCGCCAACACAGAGAAATATTTTGGGATGAAAATTTTACACAACAATGAGAAAGAAGATGCCAATAAGTATAAAATCTAAGGCTGCAGAAGCATAATAAAATGTATACTCATTTAAACTTATTTAAAAATTAAGAACAAAGAGAGGGACTAAAAACTTGCCTGAAGCACAACAGAATTGATGACATCTGCATATCTGACTGCTAAGTTCAATGACATACACCTCGCCGGTGCAATAGCATAGCCCCTAACCCTCTTCCGATCAATGTCCCCCAACCTATCCCTGTTCTGCACTACCAACATTGTTAACAATGCTGCTACACCTGACCCTAGGGAGTGTCCTGTGAAAGTCAAAGTATATTTTGGATACTTCTCCACCAGATCTTTCAACATTTCACATTCTGCATCCATGACCCATTGAGCAGCCTTCAATAGCCCGTTGTGAACATACCCGCCATCAAATTTCCTCTTACCCAGCTTATTATCCATCAGAACTGCATAGTCACTCTCTCTTGCCAAGTTAAGGCCTCTGAAGGCAAGAACTATATCGGCATGATCATGATCAAGATACAATATATACGGAGGAGCTAGACCTCCGGTATGTTCATAAGTCTTTTTCAAGATTAGCCAATCTGGGTTGATTCCATACCCACCGGGTGGTTCCCAAAGAGGGCATCGAAGGTCATCTTCGTAAACAGCTAGAATGTAGCGGCAAAGGCGAGGAACAGGCTCAAATTCTTCAGCAGTGGAAATACCCCAAGTCTCACTGTCATGACCCGCTGTGTGGAGGCATCGCTTCCACGCCCAGCGGGTACATGCCAGACAATAAACACACTCAAGGATAGGACACCCACATAGGATTGACATTGAGTCCTACAATCTAAACATACTATGACACATCAAAACTCAGAATTCACAATACACCAATGCCTAAGGACATTTCAGCAGCATCAATCGGATTTTCGCAAACGCAATACAGGTATTCATTTACTAATGTTCACAAGAACTATCAGTAGAAGCACATCAAATAAAACACAATGTTATATAACTTGACCCCAAATTACACAAAAATTGAATACTTGAAAAATGGAACCAAAGCTGCTATCTTTTCATACCCAGAAGCTGAAACTTGACAAAGAGCTCGATTGGGTCAACTGGGTCTCAACCATTACTGTGTTTTGATGCACTGATAAAAAATCTTCAGGAGCAGAGAGAAAGTACCAGATACCCAGATTTCGGTTTCGATCAAATACTGGAATCTCACGGCAAAGACACGAGAAATTAAAGCGTGGTTTTTGCGTACATTATACAAATTTGGTACTAATTTAATTGAATTTTGAAGGAAATAGTGAAGGGGAAGTGTGAAGGGAGGTCGTACCTGCAAGTCAATGCCCATTGGGGTTTCTTGATTACTTGGAGAAGAGATGGAAGTGGGTGGAAACATGATGAAGGTGCGCGGTAAAGGCCAATCATCACTGTTGGCTTCGATTGGCACTTACCATTTGTTTCGTTTTATTCATGTCTCACGTGCTCGCTGGTCCATCTACTTTTTTTACCGCGGTAAAAGACATTGCGATGAGAATATTATTCTGGCAGCTAAACTGTTACTGAGATTGTCCACGGTTAATTAGTATTTATATAAATATTAAATCGAAAAAAATTACCATTTTTAAGGAAAGGAGTTGATTTGACAAAAATATTTTTTATTAAAGGAAATTTTTCACGAAATGACCAAAATGTTTGGCAATAACTAATGTCGGAGACCACTTTTATCGATTTTAAAGTGAAAAGTTATGTCATTTTGGCTAAAAAAAGCCAACTATGTTCACGTATACAACGGTCTCACGTGCAAACTATTATGTTATTTGGTTTTCACCGGCCAAACGTATGATAATTTATATTGTTGTTGGATTTAACCATTACATTCAAAGTGTAACGGGGCAATTTTATTACAGTTCAGATGTGTAATTGTACTTATTACAAAACGCTTCCTAGCTAATCATCAATGGTATAAACAGATTCTCTTAGGAGATGGATTGTGCCCTTCATCAACAAATTCTCAAAACTGTTTTACATTTCTGACTACACAACAGCCCGACGTCCAAAATTTATCGTTAAGAGATCGCGGTCACGTCTTAAACTTCTGAGTGAGTTTCCCCACTCCTTCCCTACAATCTTCAGCGACGCGCTTGGCACCTTCTTTGACGGCCAAGCTAAACTCCGATGTGCTTTGCTGCAACTCTTGGGCTGATCTACTGGCCTTTGAAATGGCGGCGTCTTTTAGTTCTGCAGCCCCTTTTCCTGCCTTGGGGATCCACTCCCTCAAATTGGATATGAGCAAGGCTATCTTTTGGATGATCTGATCGATTATATCTCGGGATTTCCCTTTTATATTTGTTGCTAGTGCCTTAAGCTTATCCATCAAATTCTTCGCCCTGTTGACAGCTCCTTCAACCGAGAACTGCTTGCCAGCCTCGAGCCATGTAGCCTCACCCAAGGTATCTTCTTGGAGGTCATTGTCAACAACTACCTTGATGCCCTGCCTCTCCCAGCGATCTCTAGCCTCCTCGAGTACTTTAGCATGTTCTCTTGCTCTTTTTGCCTCATCTTCAGCCCAAGCCCTGGATTACAAAGATTAAAGTCTTAGAATGTTGCGTGAAAATAACGAAACAGATACATAAGACTTGGAAGCTAAATACCTGGCCATGGACAATGCTTTCCGTTCAACCTCTAGATCATGCTGTAGGCGTGCAATCTCCTGGCTTTCGGTTTCTGCTTCAGTCCTAAGTTTGCTAATTCTTTCTTTTTCATAGGATATCTCTGCTTTGTTACTCATTAGGCTCTGCAATTGTTCCTCCACCTCATGCCTTAACTTGGACAGAACTTCCATTTCTGATTCAACAGCTGCACGTTCTTTCATCAAGGCAATATTATCTGCCTCTCTCTCGGATCTTAACCTTTCCAATTCACGTCTTGCTTCTTCAGCCATTTTCTCCACAGCATCAATTTTTTCCCTCTCCATGGAAAGATCCTTCTCAAAATTTGCGTTCACATCCTTTTCAACTTCAGCCACTAAAGCATTATGTGCCTCCACAGCATTTTCTGCTATAGCTTCTGCTTCAATACGTGCAAGCTCCTCACTCACCGAGTCTGAATACTCTCCAGTTGCAAGGGCAATAGCAGCCTGGGCTTTTGTTACTGGCTTATCAGGCTGGAAGAGTCTGGTGTAACCTTTAAAACAAAAGAGAAGGAAATGTGGACTATCAAACCCATAAACTTCTGTTAAAATTAGAAATATAGGTACGAGTCATGACTCACCAAATGCAAGAGCAATAATACCCTGTTCTCCAGATAGGTCAGCAACAAGTGCAGGACATGCATCTGGATGTATCTTATCAGTGTCTATAAAACCAGAAATTTGGTAGAGGACCTGTCCAAATGAAAAATAGTAAGTATAGAACTAACGATTCAGGCCTACAAGCACAAGAGTAGCTCAAAAACAACAAAACCGAAAACAAACTGATATTGTTAACAACCTCCTTGTCGGCTTTTGGGAGATGTTTTTTCTCTAGGGCCATCTTCCAACTTACAAGATCCTGGCGTGATAGAGGGCTGCAGCAAGAAATGGCATTAAAAAAGAAGGCAAATAAGAAAAACCACACAAACAACAACAACAACAACAAAGCCTTAACCCACTAAATAAGAAAAGCCATAAACTATGTAATTTAGCCTCAATTCAGTAACAAAAAGCAAATCGACTATACATTTAAATGCGAGCAGAGAAACATATTAAATAAATACAGATAAGCCCTCACAACTAGAGCAACTAATTTCCAAAAGTAAAGATACCATGCCATGATGTACTTGTCAAATTTTCAATTGTGAACGGCCAGGATAATTGGTTTGGAGGAGGTAAACCCCGAGTATTTGGAACTAGACACAAATCTAATAACACAAAGTGATTTTAAGGAAACAACATACTAAAGAGGACACTATGTTACAAGGAATCAAATATACTACCTTTCAGGAGAGAAGTAAAATGAACTTTCATTTTCATCCAAGGAAGAAAGCATATCATTTCTTGACAGCCTGCTTGAGATAAGTCCTGCTTCAGCCAAACCTGAATGGATGCAAGGAAATAATAAGCAAACAAAGCCTATTCACACTGTCTCTTACGCTATAGCAAAAAAATCTAACATGCTCAAACCTTGAATGGATGGGAAATCAGGGTCTTCAGGTGTAATATCATCAAATGCAAGCTCACTAACATTCTCAATATACATAGCAGGATATATTTTAGAGATTGAGTTCCTACAGTTAACCCCAAGAAAATATGTCAAAAAGTGTAGACCTATACTATGCATCACAAATTGCAAAACAGAAAACACGTTGCCAAGATTTATATCACAGAGACGAAGGAGGTATACCTTGAAAGAGCACTACTTGCAAAAACCAACCAACGGGCATATTCACGCCGTGTACACAAATCACCAGGTTGAACTTCAGCCTCTATGACCTGAAAACCATTGTCACATTCAAATTACAGATTACAAACTGGCTTAACATCTTACAAACAAAATTATAAACTAATGAGAACAACATTGATATTTGAGTCAAAGATTTCCATTTCAAAATTTATCGAATCTACGGAATCAAATACAGTAACAGTTTGAATTAATAAATAAAAAATCCTCCAATAACTTTGAGATAAGGAAATTAAAAGCAAAACATGACAACGTCAGTACCTTTAACACTTGCAGCGCTGCTAATGCCTGCCCCTGGACCTGATCAACAACTGCCGGAACCAAAACCTTTCCAGGAACCACCTGTAGAGCTGCAGAAACCACAGTTGGAGCAGGTATTCCAGCAGAAGTGAAGGAATTCCCAGCAGTTGGTAATTGTGATTTGCTTCTAGACGGCTCACTTTCAGTTATGGTATTCTCTTCCAGGGATGAACTAATTCCCTCAGCTAAAACCTGCAGTGTTTTGCTGAGGTCAAGGTTTTCTTCGGTTGAAGATGGGGTTACAGGCCCTATGTTATCTTCAGATGAAACCTGAGGTTCTAAAATTGTGTTTGATTGTGTTGTAACTGATGTATCCAGAGCTATGGGTTGACTAAGTTCCTGTGCGTCGGCAATAAAAGTAGAAGACTCAAAAGTGGCAGTTTGGTTTTCACTTGTCCCCAGTACTCCATCCTGGGGTTCAATGCTAAGGTTTGACTGATTAGTTTCAGAGGCTTGCAAGTTGGTTGGTTTGACACTCTCTAGGTTCTCTTTAAGTTCAGAAGCCAAATCTCCTATACCTACAGCGAGGCTTCTGTCAAAATCCTCAAGCCCAGAGGCACGAATTGAATCATTGCCGCCAGGCTCAACTGACTTGTCATCAGAAGTTGATTCATGTGGCGTATCTCCTTTATCTGAAGCACTATTAACCACCTCAGTACCTCTGGATGTTTTTTCAAAATCTTGTCCTGACAAGCCCCCTATATCATAATCATTACCAACTCTAATTTCACTGGGAGACTCATCAATTTCTGGAGATGAAGAAGAATCCTCATTAGTACCTGTCCTTTCTTCCGGACTACTATTAGCATCATGCTTCACATTGCTTTGATCATCCACATCTTCTGTACTCCTCTCATTGTCATCATCATAAGTCAAAGACCGCTCCTGCTGCGTCGTTAATGGCTCCATCTGTTGTTTTGGGCCTGAACATATCCACATATGTTTTAACATTTAGCCAAAAACTAAAAATATACCACTCAAGGCAAACTTGTTCCATAAAACACATGATCTTCCACAAAACCAAAACAAAGCAAGAAAATACAAAACACTTCCATTTCCATTAACACCACCGAATTTCCAGTCCAATTCTAAGCTTGCCGATTATCGAAAGAAATAAGGCAGCAACTTACTCAATTTGTTTCGTTTTCCCAAAGACAATGCTGCAAAAGTAAGCCCCGCAACAAGAACGACTCCGGCAACTCCAGCTCCCACAGTCCCTGAGAGCAAACTACTCCACAAATGTTAGCAGCCAGACAAAGCATAACTGATAAGAAAACGTCAATCCAATAGAGTCGAACAATTATGACCTCCAAACCATTTCTTCCTCTGCGAGTCCAATGACTCTTCCCCATTATCCGAATCGGACCACCCTTTAAACCCGTCAGCGCTCGAGTTCGACCTGACCCACGAAACCCCCTTGCGACGGGGCTCCAATCCACTCCCGTACCTCTCACTGCCTTGAGCAACGCAGAGCACTCGAGCCCGATTATCGAGCTTCCCCAGTCGCCACCGTACGAGAACGGAGGAGGGTTTACTGCAATTGCCTAAATTGAGAGCTAAGCGAAGCTGGAGGGAGCTCGGGGAGCACGTTGCAGTCACAGTCGCCATGGAAATTCACTGCTGCTGGTTTCGGATTGGGGGAAATTACACCCAATTGAAACACATATAAAAAGAGAGAGAGAGAGAGAGAGAGAGAGAGAGAGAGAGAGAGATAGAGAGAGGAAAGCTTCGGTAGGGGAAGTTGAAATTAGGGTTTTTACGAGCTTGAATTGCAGAGAAATGGGTGTGATTTCGAAGGTTTTGGATTTGAGGAGGAAGGAAGAGACACACTCTTTGATTTTGAATTTCATAATATTTTAATTTTATTGTCTTTTTTTTTTTTTGGGTCGTATTTTAATTTTATGATCTATTGACGGAGTCAACGAGGGAAGCGTAATTGCAAAGTGAATTCAAAGTTTATCGCAGATAATTTAACATCTTATCTAATAAAAACTAACGTTGAGGAAAAAAACGATCGAAGTGTTCTCTCTTTGCCATAACTTTTTGTTTTTTTTATTTTAAACAAACGACATTATCTACACTAGAGAGAGGGTGAGTTTAGCATCACAATAAGTTAGCAATAATGTGGTTCAAATTCGAATTTGGCGAGAATCAGACCTAAAACCTCTCACTTACACCTGAAGAAAAATATCACTACAGTGTAGTACTAAAGGACAACTATTTCTTCTTTTTGATTTGTTGAGAAGAATTTTATGGTATGCCTATGCAACTTTTGTATCATTATGTTAGTGGTGTTAAGTCTATGTAAATTGTAGAGGGCAACACGCAGTAATTTAATAATGTATTACACGTTTTTTTCTATAAAGAAAAACACGTTTTTTTCCATAAAAATAAACACGTTTTTTTTTCTTTTTAGAACGTGTTGTCCTTTACAATTTACATAGACTTACCTATAAAAAAAACACGTTTTTTCTTCTTAAAATGTGTTTTTAAATAAGAAGAAAATTTTTAAAAAGGACAATATATTATTGAACACGACACGCCCCGTGTTTGTAAACACGTTTTTTTCCATATAAAAAAAAAAGAAAAAAAAAAAAGCCATGATTCTTATTTACCCCACGCACCTACTTTTTTTTTTTTTGGGAAACTCACACACCCTACTTTTGCAAAAGCAAATTACCTCACAAAAAAGCAACATCAATTTCCCTGCTACTTTGTCTTCTTGACCTAAACTCGATGATTTTCTCTCTTTTATCTAACAGGTAATGCTAAGGAGATTAAATTTATAGATAAAATTTTAAAAATTAAGAGACATGAAAATTAATGATTTGTTTATTATTTAAACATTAATAAATATGTTTATTCTTATTAATGACACATTATTTAATTTATAAACTTAGTCTCTAAATTTAATTTCTCTAGCATTAAATAGAGTTGAGCGACTGATGGTAGAAACCCTACCCTATTGTAAATTGAAGTACTGGAATTTTTGCACGTGCAATCATCAATCCAGAGACCAAAACATGATGGCGAGTTCAATGTTAAATTGTTATTGTTATTTTATCACGTGGCTTAAGCAAAATCTCTCGCCCTTGTAAGTAATACTGTGATTCACCTAACGCTTGGTGATTCTATACTTCTATGCGCATGTTGAAGAATACCAAAAGACGGTGTGATCCTCCGTTTGCTAATAAAACTGTTTTCTTCACCGAATCTACTTAAATCATTGGAAGTTGTATTTTTTTCGGTAACATGGAAGAAAAAGAGAAGAAACACTAAGCAACAACCAGTCTAATTTTAGCAATTTCAATCGTCGGAAAGAAAGAGTTTAAACTAAATAAGAAGATGGAGAAAGCTCTTGAATGTTGTATTAGTCATCCGATAAAAGAGTAAAAAAGAGGAGGAGAATTGCAGAGTGACTAGCAAAGTAGCAAATACACCTCACTCAAATCACTCACAAACTAAATACAAAAGTTAAAAAATCTGTCTTTAATTACAAAAGTGAATAAAAAACCCAAGATTTCAAGATTACATAATCAATGTAAGGAATAAATTGGTGAATTTAGAGTAGGGAAGTGTTATTGGCACTCCAAAAATCTCGTTTTACACTCCTCATAAGTGTATTTTTCTTTCCAAATATAGAAAGTTTGGAGTGTAAAATGAGATTTTTGGAGTGTCAATAACAATTCCCTTTAGGGTAATGTTATTCATACCATGTTTTTGTACCACATTTTCATACCACCTTATGTGGCATTTGATGTGGACAACTACATCATTTGAATTAATCAGATTTTTAAATTTAGTTCATTATTTAATAAACTAATAATTAAGAAAAACTAATTAATAAAATAATGATTGTGGTATACGACGAGTTTTTCTCCTTTCTTTTCTTGGGTTTTGCAAATTTTTCAAATGATGTGGTTGTCCACATCAGATACTATTTAAAATGATATAGAAATATGGTATGAATAACATTACTCGTGAATTTAACGACTGGACTGTCGAAAACTAATGACTAGAATTGAAAGCTCGAGAATATGAAAATTGATTGATGTTTATTCGTTGACCGAAACTTCAACATAAATACACGTAGAAATAATAAAAATAGCTAAACCATGCAACAATTAATCCCATGATTAATAGTCGAGATACCTCCTAATTATCTGTAGTCCTGTAGACAATCTAAACTGACTACTTATTTGCAGATAATTAAACTAATTCCTGACATGAACATGCGTCGAAGAATTATGCCAGAATTCTCACACATATTAAATTCTTGGGATTATGTGGGCTTGCAATGGATTCTTCATCACCACAGTAAACTCCATCTTCTCTGATAGGTCAACGTCATCTCCCTCCACAGGCCTCCACTGAAACTTCCAAACCAAATTCGCCACAAAGTACTCCAGGTGAAGCACTGCCAACCCCGACCCAGGACAGGACCTCCTCCCCACCCCAAACGGCATCATCTTAATCTCCCTGCTTCCCGTCAAATCGAACCCTTCTTCTCCGCCGTTGCTGCCCAAGAACCTCTCCGGCTTGAACGCCATGGGGTCCTCCCACACTTGCGCGTCCCACCCTATATCCGCCACCATGACATTGACGGTCCCGTTTTTGGGCACCAGGTGTCCGCCCAAAACCACGTCATGCGTCACCGAGTGCGGAAACAAAACGTGCCCCGGCGGGTGGCGCCTCAGCGCCTCCAAGATCACGGCTTTCAGATACGGCAGCTTATGTAGGACCTCCTCTTGCACATCCTCCTTCGTTTCTCCCATAACCCCTTTAATCTCTGAAAACAGCTTCTCCTGAACTTGTGGGTACTTTACTACGTTAGCCATGATCCACTGCAGCGCGGTGGAAGTAGTGTCGGTGCCGGCGTTGAGAAACTCCGAGCAGAGGTTGACCATTTCGTCCTCCGAAAGCTTCCGCTTCTGTTTGCTGTCGGGAAGCTCGAGGTCCAGCAGCGTATCAGTATACGACAACACCAATTCATCGTCTTGGTCGTCGTTTTTGCTGCCCTGCTTTGCCTTGTTTTGTCGTGCTCGAATCAGAGGGACGAGCACTTCTCGTTGTTCCTCGAGGATTTTGAAGAATTCCCGCCACCGATTTTTCAGGAAAATCTTCGTCAATTTCGGCTTGAAATTGAGGATGTTGAACCGCCCGAAACTCAAATGTTGTTGGCGCTGCACCCGCTCGATTTCTTTGATTTGCTCTTCGTTCAATTTGTCGCCGAAGCACATTAGAACGAGGAGGCAGAACAGGGCGTATTGGAAGTGGTCGACCACCCTAACACTACCGATGACGCCACCTTCGGAGTGGGATTGAGACTTGGTTTTGAGGCGGTTGACGAGGATGTCGAGAACCCATTTGCGGGCGTTGCCGTAGGATTTGATGCGGGAAGGGTGGAGGATTTCGGAGGTGAGGTTGCGGCGGAGGAGGCGCCACGTAGTGCCGTATCCGGCGGAGGCGATTGTGTGCTGGTTACTGGTAGTGTACTTGTTGGTGACCAAGGCCCCAGGTCGGTCGGCGAATAAGGCGCCGTTCTGGATGAAGGCCTGGTGGGCGAGGGAGCGGTCGGCAATGAAGACGGCGGAGCGGGAGCCGATGGGGAAGGAGATGATGGGCCCGTATTGTGCCTGCAGTTTGCGGATGATGAGCTCGATCTCCAAGAAGGGTTTCAGGATCCACAAGAAGCCGCCGATGATGGGGATTGAGCGGGGACCGGGAGGGAGCTTGGGTTTGGAGACGGAAGTGGGTAGGAATAGAGAAAGAAGGGGCTTGAGGAGGAAGGAGACGCAGAGGGCAATGAGGATAAGGAACCAGGTTTCCATGGTGAACTGTAAGCAATGAGACAATAAATTATTAATTTTCCACAACTATATAAAGAGATGAAGAAATCGTGGAAAGCAAGAAAAGAGATGAAAAATACTGACGAATTATTGATTTGCTGACGAACGCTGGTACTGACTCGGAGATCATCAACTCATCACGGGTCAGGCGAAGCTGTTGGAAAATTATCCATTGCAAAATGATCATCTCTATATCTCTTTCTCCTAATCCATAAAATACGGAAATTCGGATTGTTGAAATTTGATCCAACGGCTACAAACAGATGTTCACTTTAAAAATTATAATAATTTTAGCCGTTTAATCAAATTTCAACAATTCAAATCTCTAAATTTGATAAATTAGGAGAAAAGAATCCCTTTCCTTATCCATTAGTTTTATTTTCTGCTAATAATCTAGGAGAATCCGAACTCAACTACATATATGTTACCACGTGAAAAAGGTCATTGGCATCCAATGTTTTGTTTACGTGCGTATGTACTGTCTTTGGTACTATTTCACGATGACACGCGCAGGTCTCTCACTCATCAAACACGTTCTGTTTCTTTCTTTCATGAAATACGTGAACAGAATGACAACTTCAGCAGAAAATAAGTCCTACATTCAAATAAAACATTATTGTGCTTCATGAATTCACTGAAAATTAACATCGCGATTAGGTGACAATTCATCTCAAGGTGTTATATATTATGGGGGTGAACTGTCAATTTATTCTTAAATTATTGTCTAAGCAAAAATTAGGTTCCTAAACTATTTTTTTAGAAAAATCAGTCCTTGAATTATAAAAATATGTCAATTACATCTCTAATATTAGATTCGAAGCTACTATATTCAATTTTCCATCAATTTTAAGTTACGTTACTTGCATGTGATACACATTGGAGGATAGATTGGTAATTTTCACAAAGAAATAGTGTGAAGTTAATTTTGGAGGGTAAATTAGACATTAGATTTGCAACCTATATGAAATGGTAAGGGCTTATAGGTGAGAAAATGAC